TATCCCTGCTTGGCGTCTCCATTTTACGCCGCTGACAATGGACAACTGTGTAACAATAATGTTCCGGGTTGGCCGTGTAGGACCACGAGGGAGGAGGATGCGGGGATGTGTGGACGGGGCGAGGAGGGTGAGCGGCTGGCATGGACCATCTAGCCGCGCCGCAGTCAAGTAATGAAATTTGACTGGAAATTAACCACCGTGGTGTATGCGCACACGTCGATGTCGGTCTCGGAAGTGGCGCGTACACGTACGTCCGGTCGCGTGTGTTTGTGCGTGGCCGACCACCCTCGCGGATCAGCGGCGGCGCGCACGCGTGGTCAAGCAAACAACGTACAAGATATTACGAGAGTCGCGGCCCATCATCGGGGGAAAATAATGGCCAACCGTTTCGTGATAACGATGAGTTAGCGTTACACCTCGCTTGTGTATACGTATATCACGCACCCCCGCCTCCCCGGCCCAATCCACCCCTCTTTCTGCCGGTCATTGTCTCTCGCCCTATCCCCGTTCCTCCACCGTGCCGCTTCCACCTCTTTCAACGACGTTCCGCCAGCTTTTGTCCATTTTGTTACCGAGCTTCGCTAACAAGGGGAAGTAACGGCTGTGGAAATCGCTTTCGCAACGACGATATATCCAAGTTACGGTACCCCGTCTGGTTTTACTAAATCTCTCAAGTTTCTTTCAAATGGGCTTTAATTTTTTTACATAGGGTGCTCTCTAACTTGACGCAAATCTTGTTCGATTATTCTGTGCTTTTAAGAGACACGGGGTGGTATCTGTTCGAGAATCTGACGGTCGCCAGTTCAAGTCCCAGAGTATATAATTTTTTTTCTTTTGTTCTTTTTCGTATTTTAATCCTGGATAGAAACTTTCTAACTTACTTTCTATTTTGAGAAATTTAATAATAATAAACCTGAGCGTCTAAATTTTTAAATTTCAAAGTTTCAATCCCTAAGTACTCAATCCTCAAATCCTTGAATTTTCAGGTCTCTAAATTTTTCATAGCCCAGATCCCATATTTCTAAAGTTGAAAGTACGTTAATTTTTAAATTGGCCACCGAGAAAGTGACGGGGTTCCTTTCTCCATCGCTGCAATTTACCCTAGGGAAGCCTACCACGCTCGCCGATGTATTTACGAATCGAGAACACGAACAATCGCGCGAAGAAAGTCGTTTTAACGGATCCAGTCGTTAACCAGCTAGAATGTAGAAGCTTTACAACTCGCTTCGTTCTCGAACATCTGGCAGATAACCCGATTGTAGACAGCTAGGAATTATGGTTGAAATAAACTGTTCGATCGTCGAGCAGAGATTGTAACGATACTTGAAATCGATTCAGGGTAATAAGGCAGGCACGAAGCAAAAATCCGTCAACCATGGCGACGAATCATCGTGGCGGACATGACTCGACCGATCGATTGATAATAACCGACGTTATCGTTCAGGAAACGTTCGACTCCCGTTTCGGTGGTCACGTTCGAGATGTCACGCGAATTATCATCGACCGAAGGCGTCTCATTGTTCGCAAACACGAACGTTCCGTTCTTTCTGTATCGGTTCGTGCGAATTCCGTTCAACGTTCGCCACCCACGCGAGAAATCTTTTGGCTGGCTCGTATTTCAATAATGTATGGCGCCGCTTAAACTGCACGATAAACCGCCTATCGATCGCGTGCACCACTATTACCGTCGTTTCAACAACTGTTGCTGCTGGATTAGCGGTGGCATGCCGGGCCACGCAATCCGCGGTAAATAACGATAATTACGTAGCTTCTACGTTTACCGCTGATTTTTGCTCTTTGGTATCATCCCATTACGGTTCGATTAAACCTTTTTCTTCGTAGCGAAATGGGCTATACAATGCGAGGAAATACTACGCGTTACCAGATCACCGTCACGATACAACGTATCATAATATAACATAACGTATCATAATAGCATGGTGATAGAATGTGTGATGTTCTAATATTCTTGATATCATCTTAAATATATTAGATTAGAATAGGTCTATCTATCCTAACCTTATCGTAAATCTAAACCTTACACGAAACAGTGGCAAAAATTCCCGGAATCTTTCAGCGTTAATGAAATGCAAGCGCGATAGCCGGTTTTTCAGCGGAAACGAACGAATCAGCGGTAAAGGGTGTGAGGAACGCCACGGCGGGAGGGCGACCCTTTGAAATTAATAATAATGTTATCGGGAGGTAACAAAAAGCTTTTGAATCCCGATATAATGACGCGCGTATTAACGTGCGCCGTTTTCGACCTTTTATCGCAACAAAAACGCCGCGCTTTTAATCGGGATTATTGCTCTATTTCCGCGAGCCAGCCC